AATCGGCTAAAGGTAATTTAAATATCTAAAAATAAAATTATAAAAATATGCCTACATTACGAGGCATTAAGTGAAACTTATATGGTGCTTGTAGAGAAAGTTTCTCTTTTATTCTTAAATTTACCCTTATTATAAAACAATAAAAGAAGAAGAAGAGTATTGCATAGAAAAGTAGAGAGAGGAGATTCTTATTGATTTGAGATCAATTACAATAGAATAGAACTCATCTATTTATAGGAAAAGAGTGACTTAGCCACCAAGTAACAAACCCTTAAATCTCTCTAAAATATAGACATTTACTATAAATAAAATACTATTTATAACACTCCCTCTTGAATGTCTATTCACCAAATAATGTACCTAATTAAAACCTTAACTAAAATAAAATCGAGTGAAAAACAATTCTAGTGAAGGAAAAAGAGTATACATATCTAACAATATACATTTTGGTTGCCTCGTTAAAAACCTTACAAGGAAACCTAGTGGGACAAAATCTTATAAGGAAAAAAAAAGAGTACAACGCGTATTAACTCTCCCTGATGAGACAATCAATTCACATCTTTGAGCCTTCGCATTTCAATCTTGTGCAGTATCTTTAAAAAATCGTTGGTAGAGATTTGATAAACAAATCAGCCATATTAACTTGAATAAATATGATGTACCTTGAAATCATCATTCTTGATAGATATATAATATCTTCATATAATGTCGTGGAATGGCCTTTTCAATATCTCTATAGAGATTCTCGCTATCATATTATCATACTTATAGTTATAGCAAGATACATATGTGCACAAATTACACTTAGGAGCACAAATTACACTTAGGAATTAGGAGGTAGTACTTAATGATTAAGAACTCTATATGCTTTAAGCAATTTAAATCTTTCAGGAATTGTCATATAAGTTAAGTCATATAAGCCATATGAATGGACTTTAGATACATATCAAGTTTTCATGTCATGATAGGCATATAAGATAGATAAAAGTGATTTCACACTCTGTTGATTTTATACTTTCAAGTGTTTGAACTGTAGGCCCAAAACTTCATGTCTTTCATATGGATCAATTCTACTTGAATTATTTCTCCAGACTTAAGATCCTCATATATATATATATTTAGCGTTATCATAGGTGTAGTCGACGAACGCTTTATATTGGTTCCAATATTTTTTTCATAAATACATAACATAAAGAGCTCTTCCTTCATATTTTCATGTACCTGAACCTCTCCTGAGATTTTATGAAGTGTTATGTCATGCGATCTTCTAGATCACTTGCCTCCTTATTATGATCATTTTGATCATTTGCTCATCTTCTTCATTAAGAATTTTATTTGACACTGATTTGTCTATACTCTTTAAGCGTACCATAGACTTTGTCCTTCTAGGACTTATTCTAATATGAGTTTTTGCAGTAGGAATATAGTTACTATCTTTGGATCAGCAAATGCATCTGGCATGCTTTGCAATATATTGCAGATGAATTATCTTTTTGTGAACTTCAAGTTCATATTATCTTATTCAAGGATCTAAATGTAGAAATAATAATTCATTCCACGTAATTTTCTCAACTCTTTATCCTTTCTCTCCCTCATGTTAGAAAACCTAACTTGCTTCCTCAACTTTGAAAATCCATATTTGTGCGTTGTGGTGTTAATCAAAATATACATCGCACATCAATAATAATAAGATAGAATTATTTGATTCCTGACCCTGAACCACTTCGCACATCAATAATAATAAGATAGAATTATTTGATTCCTGACCCTGAACCACTTGTGAGGGGAGAATGTAATATACTTTCGTATATAACGTATATCAAACTGATATAGATAACTTTGTTCTCATAAGTAATAATTTAGCTATTAAGTAGAGGCACTCAATAAATCTTTTTGCTAAACCAACTATGATATAAACCAACTTATCAAGATGAACTATCTTGAATAAAAAGTCTGGAATATGCACTGAATTAAATTATTGAGCAAGTTATCTGACAAATACCATATTGCAAGTTAATAATAATTGCACATGTAATCATCTCATAGATGTATCTTATGTGGTATACATGACAGGTGAATAGGCCCATATTCACCTTTGATATTTCCAGCATTCATGGGACTCAATCCCAATTTTAGTTGGTCTATTAATTAATGAGAACAAGCAACATAAAAGAATTCGTAAAGAACTTTCTAGTTCTTTAATATTTACCCATGTGAATTCTCTTTTATTTTTACATATCATACTTAAATTAATATGGCTAAACCAATTATACCAATTGAATAAATTATCAATATTGATAAACTTCAGGTTTATGCCATGACATGTGCAATTATCAATAAACTCCAAGTTTATTATGATATGAGTGTTTATATCAATAAACTTCTACTTTATTGTGACATTCTCTTATTTGTGTAGTACAAACTGAAAAATAAAGCGGGTAGTTTTTCACATATATATTACCCCACTACAAGTTGTAGTAATAGAAGATATTAAATCTTTCATTTATTTATAGTCTCAATATAACCAATCGCTTTCGAGAATACTTTAGAAACTCAATAAGTTTCTTTAGGACTTACTACGACACAGTACCTTATTGATAATCAATTTTATTTCTCCAAAATAATATAATTGGCTCTTCGAGAGCTCTCAATTAATTTTGTACTACCATATATTCATCAACATCCATATAGTGAATATCTCTTTCAAGGAGAAAGTTATATAATTATGGTCATGGTCAAAATCATTATAGACAAGATATGTTACTTCTATTACTTTTTCCCTGTAATAATCACATTGCCATAATATTTTGGCATAATCACATAGGTACGTGATCAATGATATGTCATAATAATGAAATTATTTTCTTACTTCATCTCAAACCTTTTTCTAGAGGTTAGTGTGGTATATCCACTACTACTAGCACGTTCATATTCTTTCAAGAATGAATATGTATTCATAAACTACATGTTGTCACATTCACATCATGAATGGACCATAATCATCTATATGTGCTTTACAAAATCCCATGTCAAATTGATGACAAATATTACTTTCACAGAGTGAATGATTATTTTGAGAATCCTTATTGTTCTCATTACCACAATAATGACGATTATAATTTCGTCTATTGCCACGTCCACATCCACATCCATTGATACCTTCATGGTAATAATTTTATCTTCTTTCAGACTTATCACATACTACTACCACATTCTCTTTAGGGAACGAGAATGAAGCAAATTCAATGGGACGGGTTTCTACTTCTTGTGCTCACAATCATACATGAATTTGATCATGACAAGACATAGAAATTTTACCACTTCGGGTGGTTATAATTTCTTACAAACTCCATTAGAGTTATAATCAAAATTTATTGTCTTTGCTTGTATTTAAAATCAAATTATAGAATTTTAAGAATTTAAAAGAGAAAAATAAGGCAAAATACTTACCTTAAATCCAGAATTTCATGGAACAATTGACAATCATGATGCTCAATATTATGTACAAGTTGAGCATAATGCCCGTATCTCAAAGCCTGATGACCAAAGCAAATGCCTCTACTCAATTGGTTAGAGTCTCGTGCTAATAACATGTTATAAAACAATAAAAAAAGAAGAAGAGTATTGCAGAGAAAAGTAGAGAGAGGAAATTCTTATTGATTTGAGATCAATTACAATGGAATAGAACTAATCTATTTACAGGGAAAGAGCGATTTAGTCATCAAGTAGCAAACCCTAAAATCTCTCTAAAATATAGACATTCACTATAAATAAAATATTATTTATAATACCCTAACTTTTATTTTAATTTTAGAAATTATTATACCTGCCTCGAATTTCTTTTTTGATCAAAATACTCAAAATTCATTGATCAGATCCGGTGTAAATCCCACATCCATATCGTATTGACACGGGTGCAATATCAAAAATAAACAGTCCGAGCAACTTAGACAAGCACAAAATCAAAAATCAATTAATAGAACTCTCGTTTAAGTGTGCGAGATTAATCAAATCAGAGTCTTCAAAGAGGCAAACAAGTGGGTATGAGTTGAGAATTCAGATTGCAGTGTCAATTTTGAATCTCAATGATCACAAATTCACAATTTAAATTGTGATGTCATCACCTCGTATCCTAGAACTAGAAGTGACCAAGAGACCATTGTGATTTGTGCTGTTATATCCGGTTTTCCCTACAATCAAATTAGGAATTTAATATGGGCCTAAAGGCAGCAGAGGCAGATCATTCTCTAAATGCAATCTACACTGTATAGCCAACCTCTAAAATAATAGTCAATTTTTTTGTGTATATATATATATATATATAATGTGTGTGTATATTATATATAATTAGTGTATATTTTTTATATAATATTTGTCTAATGAGTATAATTATTTTCGGTCAACTGACCATATGGTAAAGATAGCACGGGTTAGCCAGTTTTCGGACTGGTAATTGAAAAATAGCCAGCGTTTGCAAAGTCATTAAAAAATAGCCACTATTTTGCTGCAACACGGAAAGTTCCAGCATAATATACTGGAGATTGGTGCACTTGTGTATGAAGTTCCAGCATATTATGTTGGAATTCCAACACACAGAAAGTTCCAACGTAATATACTGGAAATTGGAGCACCTGTGTATGAACTTCCAGCATATTATATTGGACTGGTATATTATGCTGGAACTCCAGTATATTATGCTAGAACTCCAGTATATTATGCTGGAAAATCACATGTAAAAAATTCGAACTCCAGTATATTATGCTGAAATATTTTTCGGATTTTGAACATTATTTTCATTCAGATTTATCTTTACATGAAAAGTGGCTAAATTTCGATTACTTTTGAAACTGTGGCTATTTTTCAATTAGCACTTGTAAATTTAGCTATTTTTGAATTTTACCCGGCCATATGTGTTAAAAGCCCATCTCTAAACCCAAAAGAGCAATCCATAACGAGGCCCAGTTGCTTCTATTCATCTTCACCAGTCCAACCCAGTTCGTCATAAGCGATTGCTGCGAAGCACCAGATCATGAATCGTTGAGAGTTGAGACTTCAAAAGGGTGATAGATTTGATAGTTACATCATAATCCTCGTCACTTGTACAGCCAAGGTTGTTTTTAGTTCCTCGGCCTTGACAAAGTTGTCTTAGTCTGGTGTTATAATCTTCTACAGCTGCCATTAACACTAAAATTTTGTTTCCAGTTTGGCTTTATCATCCACCGTTTATAGTATAGTTTCAGAAATCTTGGGAAGCTGAGGTATATTTTTTTTAATTCCCTTTACCGTTGCTTTTCCTGAACTTTTTTGCAGAGTCTTTAATGTTCTCTTTTTGGCATTCTTAATTGGTGAAAAATCTGATCTTTTGATTAATGGGTATTTTGCTAATGTGATGGGATTTGTAGTGTTTGCACTGAGATTTGACTATGGGTAATGCTTCTTCAATGTTAACTCAATATGATATTGAAGATGTCCAGGAGCACTGCGACCATCTGTGCAAGTCTCTTATTCATCTACTGAATCTATTGGCCTTAAAAGACAAATTATTTAGTATTATATGAAGTTGTCCCTAATACAGCAGAATGGATATAGAGGATTCATATAGCCGACCCCAATTAGGATAGTAGTAGTAGTTGCTGTAGTTGTCTTTTTTGCCATTACTTACTAACTAGTACACATACCCGCACGATGCACGGATCATTTCAATATAAAAAAGAGCGGAGAGAATTAATAAAAATAGACGTATATTGCATACTAAATATATCGACCACATTGAAAAGAATTAAGCCAAAAAATAAATAAATGAATTTCATCGAGTTGTCTGTATAAAATTGTTGCTAGAGAAGAAGAACAATAACATCAAAATTTTGAATTGCTTCATCCATTGAAAAACCAGCTAACTTATTTAGCTTTGCTAGTATCTCCAACGGCTTGTCACTTCTTTCATTGTTCTATATTTTTTTTGTTGATATCTAGTGTCCCATAAAATACAGTTACTCAGCAGGAAATAGTTTCATTGTATGAAAGGTTCTGCCAACTTGATAGGAATTCAAAGGGTTTTATCTGTGCTGACGAGTTCCTTTCGGTACCGGAGTTTGCAATGAATCCACTCTCTCAGGTTTGGGAATAAGTTTCTGTTTTTGTGTTCAATTGTGGTTTTGTATGTATTATGATCTTAGGATATGCAACAACAACAACAACAACAACAACCCAGTATAATCCCACTAGTGGGGTCTGGGGAGAGTAGTGTGTACGCAGACCTTACCTCTACCCTGGGATAGAGAGGATGTTTCCGATAGACCCTCGGCTCCCTCCCTCCAAAAACTCCCCACCTTGCTCTTGGGGTGACTCGAACTCACAACCTCTTGGTTGGATCTTAGGATATGCTTGTTCTCTAATTTGTATGCTCTGTATGTTTGATATAATTGCTTGGCTCTTTCCAGAGATTACTTAAGATGGTGGACGGCTTGAATTTCAAGGACTTCGTGGAATTTTTGTCAACTTTCAGTGCAAAAGCGAGCATGCAACAGAAAATTGAACGTTGGTTATTAAGCTGATCCTTAATATGCTATATTTTGTAACTTCAGGAAGATGCTTTGATATCAAGAATCTTTAGCTTTTTAAAACATCATTCACTTTTAGTTACACCTGATATTTGTGAATTAATCAACGTGCCGAGGACTTTTTGCTAAGAGTACGGTTTATCTCATTTATTATATTTCCCAAAATGAAAATGTTTAATAAGTTCATCATTGCTAGAATTTTAAAGCACACTTCTCATTAACAACAACATGATCTATCTGGACTAATAAATGTCTGTCTGTTAGTCGTTGTAGAATCTGGTTGTGTTAGGGGATCTAGGAGTGGTGTTATGTCGGCCATATTGAAAAAATCCATCACAATGAAAAGCAAGAATTTAAGGATTCAACCAATAGATCAAGTTTATGTTACAAGAAGTGCAACATAATTTTCACTGCCTTTTGCAGTCTTCTCACCACTTCACTTACTTGATCAACTGCTTTTATGTCTCAGTTATCTTCAAAGTATATGATTCTGACTGCAATGGGAAAGTGACCTTCGATAACATAATAGAAGTGCTTCATGATTTAACTGGATCATTCATTTCAGACAAGCAAAGAGAGGTATTCTTTACATGCTTTCTTCTCCCCCTCTTTCAACTGACTAGTGACTCTTCGGAATAATGCTTCCCATGGAGATAATCTCACATCTTTATTCTGAGCCAATAGGATTTATGGTGTAGAGTTGGAATGACCTAGGTCTACTGATCACAAAGGTCCAAAATTCTTTGCATTAAAGAAGTAGGTTTAGCTTTATAAATGTGGAGGGTGAAGCCTATGATGGCCGATTTGGTTGGTTTGGAATATATAATTGAGAGTGAAGAACCTTTATGGCTTACAAAGCTCATTGACAACAATTTTCCGACCTGTTAAGTAAAATAGGTTGGATTAATTGTAGTTCAAGGAACAAAAGCTGTAAGAGAGTTTTCCTTCTAAATGATCAGTTATGTGATACATAGGCAATTATTTGCTTCAGTTTCTGGAAATAGGAGAAATATATTTGACTCCATTCAGCCTCATAAATGATATGTAATGGCAATCCTAAATTAGATGCCTAGCATATGCTAAAAAGATGTGTCCACATTTTCTAATCATTCTATTTCTTTTCAGCGTGTAAGTGCCTTTCGATTTTAAAGTTGTGGTAATTTACTACAATATATTGCTACGATTTGGTTAACTTTAAGTGATTGGCATCATTCTAAAAATGAAATGCCTATTGGCTCTCCATCTATCTCTGTTTTTAGTTTCAACTCTCAGCATTTAGTTTTGCTGGAATGGGTATAACTGCAGATAATGTTCTTTCGATATCTCGCAACTCATGACGTGTCTCTTGAGGGATATTAAACTATGGTTGAAGTTTTAAAATGATTATAACTCTTTCAAAAGAGGAAAAGATATTTAAAGCACTTCTAAAGAAGAACAAGGAATATCACTTCAGTAAATTCTTTACCATTGACAGTTCAATGTCTTTTTTGGACTTTCTTGCTTCTATATGATTATTCGAAGCCCCCAACGTACAATTTGTATTTTTGTTTCAGTGCTTTGGTCTCTTCTTCGTCTCCTTACTACACATCTTTGTTAAGATAAAGGCACTAAAACGATCTTAATGGACTGTTTAGTTTCTGTTTTACATGTTTTGGTGACTCACTGTCTTACTGGGGTTTTGACTTGTTAGAAGGTCTAGCTTTTGTCTTAAAAGAATCTACCCACAATGAGCAACTCTGAGTTATAGGGAGTTCTTTATTTTTCTTTTTTGATTTATCAAGTGATGAAGTGGGAAGATTAAATGGATCAATTTTTTGGGTAACGTAGCTTTCCTCTAGATGTACTTGTTTGTTGGTTACTTCATCATAGATTTGCTATAGCTTTTAGCTGACTGATCGGTGCATTTACATTGCTTTATGTCCATTAATACTAGGACGTCTAGGACGTCTTTTTATTTCCCTTTTTGGCTAGATAATTTTAGTAAGTATCTTAATATCCTTTCCGAATTAAAATTCTTTTATTTTCTGCATTTCATTTGAATTTCATAACTGGGACTTTTTTTATTTTGTGGTAATTCAGCAAATTCTTTAACCATGTGTGATTTGTTTTGTAGGAAGTGCTTAACCAAGTTTTGCATGAGGCTGGCTATACAAGGGACTCCTTATTGCTCTTGGATGATTTCATCCAGGTTTGTCAGTCCTCAATGAATTAGGATCAATAGGAGCATAGGTGGTTTGGAACAACTTCTTTCCATTTTAAAGTGTCGTTAATTTAGTATCTTACTATATATCCTTTAACATAACCACATGCAGATCTTATGGAAAACTTGTTATCGTTTCTATTACTAAATCCGACTGGAGTGTTAAGTTTCTTTTGACCCCCTCTCCCATTTTAGAAGTTCAAGGATATAAAGCAATGCCCCAGACTCCACTTGTGGGGTTACGCTGGGTTTGTTTGTTGTTGTTGTTGTTGTAAGGATATAAAGCAATGGAACATAGTTTAAGGGGGGAAGTTGCCACAAAAAAATATTGAAGGGTCTTTGCTCAGTAGCCCTCTCCTTATTATTGATATAACTGTGATTGATGATCTATGAAACTATATACTGATGATTCTTTATTTCCTTCTCAGCAATCAATGTTCTGTTGCATATTTTTCTAAACATGTGCTAGCTTTTATTTTCAGATACTGGACAACCCAGGCTTGAAGATGGAGGTGGAAGTTCCAATCGACTAGCTAAGCCAGCAGTTATCTATACTAGAATTTAGATGTATCTTTGTAGAAGCACATGCTCGTGTTATTCTATCTTCTTTCTTCAATTTGGTGACCTGAGCTTTTGCTCTTCTTTTTGTCTTTCTTTCTATGTGTTCCTTCCTTTGGGCGGTGGGGATTGGGGCCATCGGCGATGTAGGTGATGGGATGCTGGAAATGGGAACCGCCATGAACGGAAACAGAGTAAGCACGTATGTTTGTAACTGTATTTCAGCTTATTCATAAGTTATTTCGTGCTTAATGCCAATGTTCTCTCTTTCTGTCCAACTATTTATGTTTGCTTCTATTTCTAATCGTCGTGTTCAGACTGTTATATAAAAGAGAAAAGTTGATTGGCTGTGACACACTGAAGCTCGTTGAGTACTTCACTTTGAGATTGATCTTAAGCTGACTTTATTCTCTTACGCACAGATGCTTGAAAAAGCTCCTGTATTAGTTCAAAGATTTGTAGAAAAGGATTCTGCAAAATTTCTCATTAATTAAGGGTTTCAAAGAAAGCTTGTAGTTTAGGTTTTGTACAAGTTTGGAACTCTCTATATAAGGGGCTACCATGCAATGGCCTTCTCTAATAGAGCCCACAAGTGGGGACTGGGGAGGATGGATGGTCACAGACCTTACCTCCTACTTTGTACGAGGTAGAGAGGCTGTTTCCGATAATATCTTCAAATGGCTGAATGAAAAAATACGTATATATGTAGAAGTGTTCTTTAAATTATGCTTGTTCTTTTGCAGAAGCAGATCCTGAACTTACAATTAGCGAATTTCGACTATGACAGTTTAATATATACTACTATGTAAATAGTATCAAAACTTTCCTACATATACATACATGATCCAAGTCAAAAACAGTGGGTTGTAAAAATTTCTGTAAATATGGAAAGGCCAGATTTTAATTAATTTCTTCAGTCCAAGCTGAATGTCTCCCACCACCTTCAGCATGCTTATTCAAGTTTACTTCAAACAAGATTCATTGTAATAAGGGAGAACCTAGATTAGCTATTTCGTCATCTCTCTTCTTCTCTTCTACTTGTATATAAACACATACAATGTAACCATACGATAAGTGTGTGAAATACATCAAGCATTATATATATTGTCTTCTTGATCTTGGCTTTATACACGAGAAGTAACAACTTGTTCGGATGGTTGTTATGTATCGATTCATAAATGTATCGTATAGTATTGTATTGTACTGTATCGTTTTGATATATACAATATTTTGATAGATTGTGTTATTTATCGTCGTTTAATGATGTCATGCACTAACAATATGAAGAATAAACTTGTAATATTATAAAGAAAAAGTAAGCTATGAGAACTCTACAAATATTGCATTGATCCCAAAGACTGCAGTACCTGAAAATGCAAGCCAATATAGGCCTATAGCTTGTTGCAATGTCCTATGTAAGGGTATATCAAGGCTGATCTGCAATAGACTTGAAGATGTTATAAGTGTAATTATGGCTGACAATCAGTCTGCCTTTGTACAAGGTAGATCCATGGTGCATAATGTTCTGATTTGTCATGAATTATTGAGACATTATAGGAGAAAGACTACACCAAGATGCCTGATAAAGATTGACCTCAGGAAAGCCCATGACACGGTTAGCTGGGAGTTCCTGGAGGAAGTACTAAAGGGATATGGATTTCCTAATAGATTTATACAGACCCGTGTGACCTCTCCAACCTTTACTATCGAAGTAAATGGGGACTTTGAAGGAAAAAGAGGACTTAGACAGGGGGATCCTATGTGGATCCTATGTCTCCCCTCCTGTATGTCCTTGTTATGGAATACTTGTCAAGAGTTCTAAAATGCATGTGTGCCCTTCTGGACTTTGCATTTCATCCTATGTGCAAACAAGTAAAACTCATATTTGATATTTGCAGATGATCTCATGATCTGCAAAGCAAGCACTAGTTCTGTTAAAAGAGTTATGGAGGCCCTAGCTCATTTTAGTGATGTTTCTGGGCTGGTTGCTAATATGGACAAATCAAGCATCTTCATGGCTGGGATTGATGACCAAACTATGGATCAACTGCTTGACGTAACTCGATTTCCCACTGGGTACTTTTCCCATTAAATATCTTGGTCTGCCTCTTTCATCCAAGAAGTGGAATAAGTTGGAATGTCAGCAATGAGTGGATAAAATCACTAACAAGATCACCACTGTTTATTCAAAAAAGTTGTCCTATGCACGAAGACTTCAGGTCATATTAGCAGTCTTATTTTCCATTCATAGTATCTGGGGGTATGCTTTCATCTTGCCCCAAAGTATTCTCAAAAGAAGTTGATAGGAAATGCAGGGAATATTTGTGGGGCAGTACATAAGAGAAAAAAATTATCATTAGTCGCATGGGAGAAAGTTTGTAGGCCAAAAAAAATATGGGGGGCTGAATATCAAGAATTGTAGAAGTTGGAATATGTCATCTGTTGGTAAGTTGCTATGACAATTAGCTGAGAAGGACTCTTTGTGGGTGAAGTGGGTGCATGGCTTCTACATGAAAACTGACACTAACATTTGGACTCATAAACTTCCTCAAGACTGCAGTTGATATTGGAAGAAGGTAAATGCACTGAAGGAAATCATGCAAGGTTGGTATACCCAGGGCGGATACGATTTGAAACTAGATGGGTAATACTCTATCACTAGCAGCTATAATGCACTGGTGGGGCAGCATAGAAGACTGAAGATTGCAGAGCAAATCTGGACTACACTAGCTCAACCAAAACACATGTTCGTGGTTTGGCTAGCTGTATACGGCAGACTGTTTACCAATGCCAGATTGAGACACCTTCATATCCCAGTGGCAGATGACACATGTTGTCTTTGCGCCAGCCAAGATGTGGAGACCCCGCGCTACACTTATTTGCAGAATGTGATTGGATAGGAGAGGTGCGAGAAGGTATCCAACAATGAACAAGGATCACTATATGATAAGGAGAAGTTCACAAGGTGCTTGAAGGAATGAAGAGAAGGCAATGGAAACAATTCCAAAAGGAGCAAATTGCAGCAATCTGGGAGCAGTGGCATACCATGTATGGAGAGCAAGGAACTAGAAGATATTTAGGGGAACAATTGGAAATACTGATATAGTGTTGGCGCAAATTAAAAGAGAGGTTGTAGAATAGAAATACTCTAGAACTCTAGGAAAGCTAGTAGTTGTCATAGTTTAATACACATATTACTTTGTACTTAGCTGATACATGGTTGTCGGAGGCCTGCTCTTCCTGGCTTTGGAGGATGGGTGCTCTTTAGGTGTATGGTTTTGTGAGTTAATGGTATTATTTACATATTTACCAACAAAAAAAAAGGTAAGCTATGAGGTATAATTATCATAGAAAAAGGTAGGATAAAAGGCAAAGTAAGATTATTTAAGGTAGGGTAGATGAGAGAAAAAATAAGGTAACGACGCGACCCGTCAATTCGGCCGTTCTGTAAAGTGATACTTTTTGTCATTATGTAACAACGAATATAACGATAAAATACAATAAAATTTAAGTAACAATCAAAACAAATATTGTATTTAAAATACAATACAATACGACAGATAAAAAGTATATGTTTCAAAACAAACATAAGTTCCAAGAAAAATAATGCGCTTGACTTGCAAAACCTAGTACTTAGAAAACTTAAGATAAAATTTGACATCACTAAAACTGGAAAAGGAAAATCACATAAAAAGGGGGTCTTAATGCACTAACGGAACGAGCAGAATAGAAAATTACAGACAACACAAGCAAATGAAAGAGACATATATAGCTAAAACACTAGCCAGATTCTTCATTCGTTTCCACTTCCATTGTTACCATTTTTCTTAGCATCACCATTAATAAAAGCTTCTTCGTCATCGCTGCTACTTTGCTCTCCATAAATCTTACCATCGTCGTCACTATCATCATCATCACTACTGTCATCATCATCGTCGTCGTCGTCTTCTTCTTCTTCTTCGTCTTCATCTTCACCATTATCTTTCTCATTATCATCGTCTTCTTTATCATTATCATCATCATCTCCACGTCCGTTATTAGAAGTCTCTCCTTCATCATCACTAGATGTCATTTCGCCATATATCTTTCCATTCCATTCTCCACTATAATCGCTACTCTCTTCAGAATCGTCGTCTTCTTTATCTTCATCTTCATTACCCTCGTCCTTCATTTCAGGCTCTAGTGCTGTAGATGTATAATGCTCAACAAGAGGAAACCTACAACAATATATGTGACTGAACATGAAGGGAATATTTCTACCTAAATAATTAAATTGAATAAAGAAATTACTAAAAACCAATATGTACCTCCTCGTCATTCCAATCAGATTTAGTAACGAGCAAAGCCATTCAGTCTGGAAAAACAAAATCATATATGATTAACACATCTACACATGAGAGAAGCAGGATAGTGTTAAGAAAAGAAAAACTTAACAGTTTTAATACATCAACAGTTAGTATATATAAATGAAACCGTTGTGAATTAAGTATTTGATACAAAACCAAGCCAAACTCAACGTGGAAGCCGGAAAACATCATCAAATTAAGAAACACAAACTAGTATCTATACAATTTTAGGTTTGGCATCACTGAAACTTAACCCTAAAAGAGTAGTAGGGTGCACAAAGCATCCCGCATTCACGCAGGATCCAGGAAGGGCCGTATCAAGGGTGTATGTAGACAACAACAACAACAAACAACTAACAACAAACCCGGTGTAATCCTATAAGTGGGATCTGGGGTTAATGTGTACATAGACCTTACTCCTACTTTGTAATGATAGAGAGGTTATTTCCGAATGACCCTCGACTGAAGGAACAGTAAAAATAAAGCAACAAACAATAACAACAACAATATGATAGGGAAGGGTGTGATTAGACATCTTTTGAGCCTACCCTAATGAAACTTGAAACCATAAAATAAAAAATAAAAACACATAAAGTGTGTTTATATATACATAAGTAGCACAAATGAATGTATACCATATAGAGGAGAAACACTGAGCAAGACATCTTCTGGGAAACTGATCTTTCTGATTCCATTAATGAAAATCTTTTAGGCTATATTTGTAGAGAGGAGACAAATGGGTGGCTTGCTGCTGGTTGGAGAGCCAGTATTTATATTAGGAGTTTCAGGAATCTATGTTCTGTCTACATAGAGCTACAATATTTTTCCTATATTTGCTCGAGACAGATTTAGAAAATAAATTGAATAGATGAATGATTACTTTAGAAAGTAAAAGAAGAAGATCTAAAGTTAAGATTTATCAAAGGAAAAACTATAAATTCATTTTGGATAGTATTTTATATTTTTCCTAAAACATTATTTCTCATTTATGGAATTACTTATTTGGT